CAGAATTAAGTTTCCTCTGCTTTAAATACACAGGTGATTTCTGCTTTTCTTTGTTGAGCCCTGATATCAGGTGTTTCCTTCTTTTACCCTAATGCCAATTTCTAATGTCCAGATGTGTGAATTAGTAACTATACCCCACTTCTTCCTTGCTATAACAAGAAGGAATAGTTAGGTTTACAGAATTTCTCAGATCTTCCAGATCTCCATTGCTTAGTGGTAAAGTCCTGGGCACTAGCATGAGACAGGCTAGTACTGACTCCCAGCTCCTGTATCATGTGCTACCTGTGTAACCTTTCACAACTTATCTAAGCTCACTAAGCCTCGGCTTCTTTCATGTATGATTTGGAGATAATAATTTTCCTACTTCATATGGTTTTGATGGTTGAAGAAAGTAGTGTGCTCAAAATTACTCAAGGCAGTTTTTTATACATTGTGTGTTCTGTAGAGGAAGCAATTACTAATTAGAAAGTCTCTTTTTTTCATAATGTAAGTCTTTGCAGTTGATATTATTCATGTCAGCAGCCTGAAATGAAGTGAGCACTAGCATTTGCTAATTGTTTTATCCTTGGAAGGTACTAAAAGGAATGATTCATTTGCAGGGGCAGAATGTGCTGGCCAGGACCAAATGGGATGGAGCAAAATGTCCTGAATGCTACCATACATTGTTTCTTGGTATCTGCTGGAGATTGGTTCCAGGATTTCTGCTCCCTGTACCCCTAACCCCTGTCCTTTATCACAATCTGAGGATGCTCAAGTCCCTTATATAAAATGGTGTAACATTTGCATATAATCTATGCACATCCTCCTGTATACTTTAAATCATCTCTAAATTACTTCTAATGCCTAATAAAATGTAAATGAGATATAAATAGTTGTTATATTATTTTGTTTAGGTGACAATGACAAGAAAAAAGTACATGTTCAGGTTGGGTGTGATGGTGCATGCCTGTAATCCCAGTGGTTTGGGAGGCTGAGGCAGGAGGATCATGAGTTCAAAGCCAACCTCAGCAATTTAGCAAGGCCCTAAAGCAACTTAGTGAGATCCTTTCTCTAAATAAAATCTAAAAAAGGGATGGATATGTGGATCAGTGGTTAGGTGCCCCTGGGTTCAATCCCCTATACTACCCTCCCCCACCCCCAAAGTTCATGTTCAGTACAGATCAATTTATTTCTGAATATTTTCAACCTGTGATTGGTTGGATCTGTAAATGTGGAACTCTCAGATATGGAGGCCCAGTTATATCTTAACATTGTGCTTTGGCCCTGCTCTCCATTGTTGAACCTATATTTATTTTGGAGTAAGGTATATCAAGGTGAGAATGGAGCCGGTTGTTACACATACTACAGGTGAACAGATTTTCCTAGTTTTAGCTTTGAATTGGAGGATTACTTGAAGAAAGGCTGCACTGGGGACTAGGCTTACTGACTTCTGTCCTGCCTTATTATTCCATTATACTTTTTTTTTTCTGTTATATCTCGTTTCCGAAAGGTCAGATTAATTCCCTCATCTTCATAAAACTTTATCTGATTATTTCAAACAAATTGGATGTTTGCAGTGGTATACACTTAATCTGTAGGTCCCCAAGCAGAATTTCACAAAGAAGACCTCCTCCAGGTTCTTTGCCCAAAGAATGCCTTGCCAGGCAGCCTGTGACACTCCTGTGTTTTGTGGGAGTAACTTCAAGCACTGTATGGCCACTGGGGCTGTGCCTTTCTTTGGCTTAAGACTGGTTTCATTAACAAGCATGTTCACACTTCAACCGGAACACTTAAAATAACACCCGCACAATGTGTTTAGTGTTTAGCTAATTATTAAGTCTCTGAGCTTGAATTATTCAAGCAAAATTGATTGGGTTCAACCTCTTCCTTCTCTTTGTGCTTTTTTAAAAAATAAAAATAAATTCTTCCCTTTGTTCTCTAAATAATGTGGAAAGGGTTATTTAATAAACTTCAATACCCTGAACTGTGTGTGGTACCCAAGTGCTAATAGAATAGAGAGATCTGGCAGCTCGACTCTTTTGTAAAAAAAAAAAAGCTTATCTGGGTCTGGGGATGTGGCTATGTGGTAGAGTGCTTGCCTGGCATGCCTGAGGCCCTGGGTTCTGTCCCTCCCTAGTGGCGCCAGCACCCCACCCCACACCCCCCCCACCCCAGAATGAGAGAGAAAGACAGATAGAGAAAGTATCTAAGTATCTACATCTTATACCTCCCTTGTTAATGAGTATTTATTGAGACATAAAATGTTTTTGGTTCTTTTTTAAATTTCTTGATAGTTATTTGTAAGTTGGATAAGTATCTTGGAATCAGCTCACTAGTGTATTGTATTTGAAAATGCAGAAGAAGGAATTGATTACTTTTTTACTACCGCATCTCATGGTCAGTTGAAATTGTCAAAATGTGATGGCTTCACAATTAAAAATCATGTTGTTGAAGAATATTTGTTTACCTACAAAGACATTTGTAATGCATTGGTAACTAAACCGGAAGCGGTAAAACTGTCCTTTACTATGAAACATTTTTTAGGAAAACAAATTATAAACACCAAAATGTTGATTATTATCTAGTTTATAATTAAATTTTTCTTTTTTGCTTTTCTACTTTTATAATTAAACAACACACATAAATATGTCATGGTTGGAAATGATTGACTTCTAGTCTGAACATTTAAATATATTCATGTGCCAAGAGCACATTGAAAATAATGTTGTCCTTATTTAAGTCAGGCAAGTGTAGATTTCACAAAACATTCACAATATTGTGTGAATCACAGCAAACTGCATAATTCTATTAGCCTTTATTTTTAGGACTCATGTTTAGATCTTCATTTCTCCTTCTTTTTGGGCTTCCATAATATCAAGGTAAAAAAAGATGCATGGTGGGCATTGACATGGATAATGGGGGTGAAAAAGGAATAGAATATAATTGTGTTTAGGAGAAAGATCATAGAGATGGAAAATTTGAGAGGAAATAATGGAAATGTAATGACCTAGTTTAGGGGTATTAATTTAAATGTGGGATCTTCCATGAGAATTTTGTAGAGAGCTCTCTTCAAACCAAGATCACAAAAACCTGGAAAGGCCCTACAGGCATCAGGTGATCTAGCTCTTCAGTGACTGCCTTTGCTGCCCCAGTTGCTGCGTGGTGCCACTGGATCATAAGTGTGCTTGTGTGCTTATCTGTGTGTGTGCAAATGGGGTATAGGTTTGATAACAGAGATGAACTGTCCTGACTCCTTTCATTAGCTAAAAGCCCTGTAGGCGGTAACCTTGGCTGAGGATAAACAGGCAACATCTAGAATATTTCCGGAGGAGAAAACACCAGGCTCCACGTTGGGAAACTTTTGAAAATAGAGATGGGAAATTCTCTCCTTTGCGCGCCGGGCGCGCACAAAAATACCACTTGGATGGTAGCGCATATAAGTGTTACGTTTTTGTCCTGAGAAGTGACATAGATTCTTTAATCAGACACCCAAGAAATTATGACTCGACTGTGGAAAAACCGAATTTGGGGGACGGGAGTAGGGACGGACAGGTAAGGAGTGGTCAGAGGCACGGTCTTTTCCAGAGCTGTTGGAAGCAGAAAGGCGTCTGCTTCTAGATCTTCTGAGCAAATGTGCAAGACAGGTGGCGTCTCCCAGGACGAGGAAGTAGCTGGGATTTGCGATATGTAGGAGAAGCCTCGGGGATCCGGGGCCAGTGGCGTGGCAGCGGTGGCGCAGTTCCCAGCCGGCGTCCTGCCGCAGCTCCACAGCTCGGCTCGGTCATGCTGTCTCCATAGCCTCCTCCGCCACCGCCACCTGGGCCTCCCCTAGTCCTCCCGTTTCCCTGCATTCCACACTGCGGCAGCCGTAGCTTCGCGGGCCGAGTCGGCCCTCAGCACCCGCCTCAGGCTTGTGCAGTGGCCGGCGCCCCCTCCGGGGCCTCGACTCTGCTGGGCCGCAGGACAACGCCCGGCTGCGTGCGGGGCTCCGGCGGGGGCGGGGAGAGGGCGAGTGCGCGCGTGTGTCGCGGGGGCGCGGGCGGGGACCGCCATATTGGATCCGGACTCGTCCGCGAGCCTCCGCTGCGTGCGGTGCCGACTGGAGCGGCCTCGCGGAGCCCCGGGCGCGAGCGCGAGAGGAGCGGGAAGGCGGGGGAGGCTGGGAGGGAAAGGAAGGGAGTGGTTGGGAGCCGGGCTGCGGCAGCCTCTGGTCTCCACACCAGCAGCACGGACCCCTCCTCCTGCGCCTCAGCCTCCTCCCTCCTCTCCAAGGAAAGATGCCCTTAACCCAGGGGTGTGAAGAAGGGGGAGAAGTAGCCGCTGGAGCCGCCCGCGACGCCGCAGCTGCTGCTGTCCGTGTCCTTTGAATCCAGACGAGCACCCCCCTCGCCCAGGGGCATCGGGAGGTTCCGGCGCGGCGGCCGCGGTCCGGGTGCGGGGGACACCGGGCTCTCCGCCAGGCGCGGCGCGGCCCGGCCCGGCCCACGAGCGACCACCGACATGGAGCGGGCTCCGGCGGCCAAGTAGCCGCTGCTCCCGGAGCCCGGGTGGGAGAGCCGCCCGCAGCCCGCCTTCCTAATCCCGGCCGTGCCGCCGGTCAGGCCCCTGGGAGAAGCCCGGAGAAAAAAATGAAGAGTTTTCGCCGGAATCAGTTGGAAATAGGACTAACTGCAAAGCCTTAAAAAGAAGGACCTCGGGAGGAGAAAGGAAAAGCCTCCTCCGGGCAAGACTTGGCGTGCTCGGCGCTGAGGAGAGCTGCTTCAGGGACCTCGCCCCCTCCCTTTCCCGCTGGAGAAATTGCCGCTGATGCATTATCCAAGTGGCGGTTGGGAGGATTTGCAGCAGAATTTTTGGTTTTCCCTCCCCCTTCTATACATTCTGTTTTTTTCCTCCCTTTTCTATTTTCTTTCTTCCCGGGGAGTAAATTGCTGATGCAAAGGGGGACTTTATTCATTAATGATGCAACCGGATTCGTTTCAGGATTACGTTGCACGAGTTGAATTTTGAATGAAGGAGAAGAGTTGTTTTTTTTTTTAAAGAAGTGTTGACTCAAGTTCGTTTAATTATTATTTTATTTAAATATACGATTTAATTGTATTATTCATTTAAAATGTATTAAATATATTTTATGATAACTTACCCTCCAAATATATGTATATGGGTGTAATTGAAGACGTTTCAGTTAAGTGAGGTTACTGGTGTATTGGATGTTTAATTCAGCACCGGCATTGCATGACAGTTATTGGAATAACAAGTGGTTTATTTCTAAAACCACACCTTTTAAAATTTAGGTTCAAATAGTAAATAGTCAAACTTGTAATAACAATTTAGAAGCAAATCAACAGAAATCGAAGCAAACATGTCCGGAGAAGTGCGTTTGAGGCAATTGGAGCAATTTATTTTGGATGGGCCGGCTCAGACCAATGGGCAGTGCTTCAGTGTGGAGACCTTACTGGATATACTCATCTGCCTTTATGATGAATGCAATAATTCTCCATTGAGAAGAGAGAAGAACATTCTTGAATACCTAGAATGGGGTAAGTTAAAAAAAAAAAAACAATCTTTAGCTGTGCTTTATGATTTAATTGTTATGGAGAGTTATGAGTAAACTCTCTGTAACGAAAAAATTATATATATTTATAATTAAAGATCAAACACTAGTTTTTCAAGATTTTTTCCCCTGGTTTTTGGTAAATATTATTTCAAGAGTAAGACCACTCTACTCAATTGTTGCCTTGACGTAAGGCCTACCTATTATGGAAATTATGATGAAGAACTTAGGTTTTTAGGTCAGCAGTAAGATATTTAAAATAAATTTGGGATGGGCAAAAATGGATTATTGTTCAGTGTTGCCTTATCCATGGCAGTATGACAGCCATTCAATTGAAAGGTATTTGTGGGTGGAAACATTCCTTCCCAGACTTTGGAAATCACTCTTGAAATGGGAGGAGATATTGAAATGTCTGTTTATCCTAGGACAACAGAAACGTGAAGGTGCTGAGCAGTGTGTTTCATTTCATCTCCATATAGTGCAAGCAAAGCACAAGCTAAACATGGGCTTTAAAAAAAATTGTTACGTTCAGAAAGATGACTTGACAAATACTTAAAAAAATTTGTTGATGGAGAATGGGGAAAGCTACCACCTGAAGACTTTACTCTGAGTTTCAGTCTAAACTGTTAGTCTTTTGGTTCCAGTCTTCTAAATATAGATGTGATTTAGAAGACTTCTTGTAGTGGAATTGATCATTGATGCTCTGTGAGCTATCCCTCCATGTGACCTTCAAGCTTCAAGGCTTGGCTGAAATTCTTCAGCCTCTCATGTTATATATGGGTGCAGTCTGACCCGACTGCGGTGATCATTGCCCAGTCCATATATAGTGGTATGCATTGGCTTTGGAAAGATTTTTGGCCAACTAGCATTTTGTACCTCTGGAGTACTAGTAATATTAGTTGGCTGCAAAGATGTTTTTTTTTTTTTTTTTTTTTAATTGAAAAGTTTTTATGCCAAAATATCCTTGTTCCCAAGTGATACTTTATTTTCCTGAAGTAAAAGTCAAGGGCTGATTGTTTCTTTTCTTTCCTTTTTTTAATTTGAAATTTATTCAAAATTAGTTTCTTAGGTCAACCACTGATTCAAGAATGCCTAACATATAATAATTGTAATTATCAAATTTGCGAGTATTAAAAGATTTATAGCAACATGATGTCATGAGGTTTTAAAAAATATGTGAATGGGATGATTTAAAAAAAAATAGGCCACCATAGTCATACTGGAAATGTAAAAAATCTAAACTAATCTTTCAAGAAACTGCTCTCTCAAGAGTGCTGGTTTTGGGGGGGGTGTGTGTGTGTGTGTGTGTTTAATGTATAGAGTAAAATATTTTATAAAGCATGTGTAGTTTCTCATGTTTCCTGAATTTTAGGAGTTCTATAGTGTTTGATTTTCGAACACTAAGGTCTTGGTACTTTTATTTATTGGTTTATTTTTTGTGATACTGGAAATAGAGCCTAGGGGTGCTTTTATCCCTGAGGAACATCACCCTGCCCATTTTTAAAAAAAATTTTTAGTTTTGAGATGCTGTCTCATTAAATTGCCAAGACTGGCCTTGAACTTGCTATCCTCCTGCCTCAGCAGACTGATGGCTGGGATTATAGGTGTGTGCCAGTATCTCCACCTCTCCCCCTCCATGAAGGTTTTGGTATTTTTATAGTTTGAGTTTTGAAATTATGATTTTATAGTGACACTCTAGTCTGTGATTGTGATTGTCATTTAACATCCTTTCTCATTTGCAAAATAGTGGGAAAAGTCTTTATGTGTACCAGTGGAAAATATAATTTTATATAATTTATGATAAAAGAGAAATGTTCTCCTTCTACTTCTGATTTATATCTCAAAGCTTTGTGCTTTGAGATATTTTGCTGTATTGTTAACTTATGCCTTTCCATTAAGTATATTTTCTTGGATGTTGTTTCTTCTGTATGCATAGAAAGCACTGTTGCTTATATAGTTACTTAAGCCAAAAAAGTGAAAAAACAAAAAACAAATATTTAGCCAAATACCTTATATTTTTATTAAGATCCCTAAAGTAATTCTAACCAGGACTTATCACAATTGATAGTTATTTTAGTTGTATCCTTCACAGCTTTTCTTTTTAGAAGTCTTATAACAAACTGTACAGTTTCTTAAACTATCATTGTTTTTCAGTACTTAGAGATCAAGGGAATAGACTTAAAAAAAAATGTAAAATAACCTTTATTAATTTATTTTTATGTGATGCTGAAGATTAAACCCAGTGCCTCACATGTGCCAGGCAAGCGCTCTATCACTATGCTACAACCCCAGCCTGAGAGTAGACTTTTTAAGGAATTATTTTGTATAGGGTTAGGCAGTGTCTGATAAGTCTCAACAGTTTTTTTTTTTTTTGGCGAGGCTGGGAGTACAACCTGTGGCCTTAACATGCTAGGCAAATGCTCTACCACAGAGTTATATCTCCAGTTGGAGTATGAGGTCTTGAAAATGGTGGATATTAACCACAGAATATTGAGTGAAGAATAAGAAAGAAAGAATAAAAAAGAATGGAAGAGCTGTGGGGATGTATCGTGGTAGTATTTACTATCCTTAAGTTATTGGGGAATTTAGGTTAAGAATGACATTATTTTTCATCCAAGAATTAAAATAAATGAGCCATACTTCATGTATAAATTGATTACATTTTTGGGAAATCATCTATGTTATTTGCATTACCTAACATTATATAGAAAACAATTTAGACTAAGGAAATTTCCAGATTGTGAATTTGTCTCAATTTGATTTTTTAGAACATTATTATTATTATTAATATTGATATCTGATGGAATCTGCAAGGGATTATTGTTTGGGTTAAATTTGATAATTTAGATTTGCCTTATATATCATTTTTAGTTTGATTTTAATAATTTGAAAAATATTAGGTCTTTAAATCTTTAAAGTAATTGCAGCAGGAGAACAGTATAGTTAAATACTGTCTATTGTGTACTAAATATTTGTGTTTGTTATTTATATTTATGCAAGTACTACCTAGATACTCTTGAGTTTATGCTGATAATTGGTTACTTTTAAAAATGGAGTCAGCTGGGGCTGGGGCTGTAGCTCAGTGGCAAAGCACTTGCCTAGCATGTGCAAGGTTCTAGGTTCAATCCTTAGCACCACATAAAACTATAAATAAATAAAATAAAAGCATGCTGTCCATCTACAACTAACCCCCCCCCCCCCCCCAAATAAATAAATAAAAAAAAGGAGTCAGCCAAGATTTTAACGAATGCCTCATTTCCATTGATTTCATTTATTCCTAGTTATGGTTCATTTTACTTTTATATTGGTACAGTTAATGTTTTTTTCATAACAGTATCATGACAGTAACAAAACTGACAATTCAAAGTCAGACATGTTGTTTTTATTTGATAGCATTCCTTGCTTTTGGTACCTATGGCTTGAAGGAAGAAATAAGTAGAAAAGGAGGGAGGAAGAGGGGATTAAGCTGAAGAGTACTGGTGAATGGGGATAAAAGCACCTTAAGATCATAGATAACTTTTTAAATTTAATAATAATATTTTCCAGTTATAGGCAGTATGATTTGAAAGACAATATTTTTATCTCCTATGTTTTCTAAACTGTTGATTATAGTTTGTATGTTTGTTTATAAAGTGGTAGTTTTGAAGTTAGTAGTATAATTCTAGAATAGTTACAGTAAATTTATAGAAGTAAAAATAACTTCAATGTTGTAAACTAATTTGATGACTGTATGAGTTCATTATTTATTGAATTGGCTGTCTTCTACTTTGAAATGGGAAATTGGAATTTTAGAGAATTCTTTACCAGTTTACTTAAAAAATAGATATAAGATAATATTTCATATGACAAAAATTTGCAGGGCTGTATGTGGATAATTTTTTTGATGCTTTCTGATCTTTTATGCAAATAATCATTACATTTTATGCAAATAATCATTAAACAATTTTATAGCTTATTCATATTTTATGTGTGCTACACAGAGAATAAATGATTGATAAACTTGTCACTCAGGCACATAGGCAAGTACTATCGTGTAAACATTTCCCTTTTGAAAATATATTTTTAGTTGTTGATGGACTTTTATTTTTATGTGGTGCTAAGAATCAAACCCAGTGCTTTACACATGCTAGGCAAGTGCTCTACCACTGAACTACCACCCCAGCCCCAACATTTTCTTTTATGAAAGTAGTTGTAAAGCTTATTTACATTTTTTTCATGTGTGGGTTAATTGAGTGAGGTAAATTGTGGCTTGCTTAGAAGGATCTAAATGTCTAGGGTATTTTATTCTTTGTGTCTGCTGTTCTTTACTGTTAGCTTTCCTGAGTAGAATTTATTAACCATATCAAATTATCAAGACATTAATTGAATACAGATGATCAATTTATTTTTATGTAAATTCTCAATTAGGATCATATAAATATCTTCAGAAACAGATTGGACACTTACATCCTTTATACTAGTTATCTAGTTATTGTAAGAGTGAATACAATTATTTTATCCAACACAATTCTGGCACATGGCAGGAACATGTTCAACAAGTAGGGGGTGACTTATTATATTCTCTCTCAAATAATTCTTAGAGGTAGTTGCTAAATGGTATTTGTTACTGCAACAAATTGAGACATTTATTAGTAATTATTTTAAGGAACATCACTTTTTCTTTTAAGTATATTGTTTTATGAATGAGAACAGGATGTCAGGATTAACACTTTAAGAATTTTAGAAATATAGTTGTTTCTTATGGAAATTTAAGTCATATCTTAGCAAATGCCATAATATGTTGGAAATTTTATGAAATGTGCTATGCATCTTAGGACTTGTTGCTATTACATAGTCAGCCCAGGCTACTTTAGGCACAAATTAGTATTTTACTGTACTACTCTGTGGCAAAAAGTTTTTTCCAAAACTTTTTCCCTATTGGTACTTAAAAAAAATATTTTTAGTTGTAGATGGACACAATACCTTTATTTTATTTATTTTTATGTG